CCACTTCTCAAATCTCTTTCCCCAAAAAAGATCAATTTGCATGTTTAGCCCCTGTTTGGGGCCAGGCACTGGAAGATTTCACCACTCTTGTGGTTTTATCAGACTGGACCCTGATTACTATACCAATTTTATGAAATAGGTTCACTGTGTACTGGCTACTGGCTTGGTTGAGTCTGGTGAGACATAACATTGATGCACACAATAGGTTATGTGAATTGGGACTGTTGCACAACACACACACAAAGGGACAACAGAAGTCCAGGATTCATTTTGAAATGGGGGGGTGGTCTCCTAAGGCTCAAGAAATCTGCCTGGGGTAATGGAGTCTTGTTATACCACTTGCCCTGCACTCTAGGGACCCCAAAAAGCAGCTTCCTTGGTTTACATACCACAGGACAGCAAGGAGAAGCTGTTGGAGGACATTCATGTATTAGTAATCTCCAGTATCTCAGAATGTGATCTTATTTGGAGATAGGCTCTTTATAAAGGTAATCAAGTTAAACTAAATTCATTAAGTGTGTCCTAATCCACTGTGACTGGTGTCCTTTTGAAAAGGGTGAATGAATTTGGACACAGGAATATAAAGACAAGACAATTTGAAGACAAAGGGAGGAAACCATGTGAACGTGAAGAGAGAGGGCTAGAATAGGTCCTCCCCTCACTGCCCTCTGAACCAATTCATCTAACCCCTTGATTTCTGACTTCTATCGTCCAGAAAAGTGAGACAACACATTTTTGCTAAGCAACCCAGATTATGGTAATTTGCTAAAGTTGTCCTACCAAACTAAAGCATTCTTTTACTGCTTTTTACTTATTCTATTTATTTTACTTATTCTACTATTTTTTAAAAAAGATATATAAATTTGTATAAAGTTTCAAATGAATCAAGGTCAGTGTTTGGCCTAGGGGTTAAGATACCAGGTGAGATTCTGACATCCTATATCAGAGTGTCTGGGTTAAATTCCCAGCTCTGGCTCCCAATTCCACCTTCCTACCAGGAAAGATCCTGGAGGAGAAGCAGGTGCTGCCCAGGTAGTTGGGTCCATGTGTCTCACATGGAGGACCTGGTTTCAGTTCTCAGCTTTGACCTGGCCACACTCCAGTGCAGACATTAGAGTGAGTCAATAGATGGAATTGCAATCTCTCCCCCTTTCTCTTCCTCTCTGTCTGTATGTCTCACTCTACCTCATGAATAAATAAAAAATAAAAAATTCAAAAGAATCATTTGAAGTCATACTACAATAATGTTAATTTAGTAGTAATAAAGATAAAACTATGATTTTAATAGCTACAAGAAAACAAGAAATATAAATTAGCATTCAGAAATAAACATAAAACTCTACAGGAAAAATCATATCTTACAGAAATACATCAAATTTTGTTTGGAGAATTAGGCCATTTTCATTGATTGGGAGACAATATCATAGAGTTGTCAATAAAACACAACATAATTTATAATTTCAGAAAATTTCAGGAAACATCTAAACAAATTTTATAATAAAGGCAAAGGGACAGAAAGAGAGAGGGAAAAAGGGAAAAAGATCTTCCATTCATTGGTTCACAACAGTCAGGGCTGGGCCAGGTCAAAGCCAGGAGCCAAGAACTTCATGTTGATATTCCATACAGGTGGCAGAGACCCAAGTACTTGAACCATCTTCTGTTGCTTTCCAAGGTTCATTAGTAGAAAGCTGAATAAGGATAATGGCATGCCAAGCAGAGGCTTAACATGATGAGTAACAACAGTGGTCCTAAAACTTAAGAATCTTGTTTTGAATTTAGCTGGGAGACAGATTGTTAAGTTTGGGCAAAATAATGCTATACATTTAAGAATAAGGTTAGGAAAATTTCCAGAGCTAAAATAAAATAAAGGTATATTAATTAAAATTGCCTACCAGTGGATCAAGATAGACATATGATACATAGAAAAGAATTGAAAGAACAAAATAATTGTCATTAATACATGAAATACAGGACAGTGTGGGCATAACAAATAAATGGTAAAATGATTTAATAGTACAGAGTCAGTAGAATGTCTATCTCAAATAAATTGGGACTCAACATATATTAGGCCCCATTTTTAGATGATTTATTTCATATGTGTGAAAGTTACAACTTTCTATTTTTATGACATGTTGGTGGATTTCACTGAAGCAGTGAGAATTTGTGTACAGTAATTTGCTTCTCTAACTAAATAGGTGATGATTTTGCTTCTACTAATAGTAAACTAAATAGAAAATCCTACACTTCTGCTGTAAATAATTATCAAAATTATACATAATATTTAACAATATTTAAAATACTTAGTTGAAAGCATCAATTTTTGTTGAGAAAAATTTCAAAGGGACTATCCAGATAAAGAAGTAAACCAGTAGCAACCTAGAACTTGTATTATTTATTTATTTTCATAGATTTCGTCCCACAAGACTTCATTCTGAAAGACTGGTAGAGTTAGAATATCTTCCATGTTACTCATGGGAGGAGAAAGACAAAAACCAAAGATCATTTTCTGCCAAGGAGGTTCAGCCCTGATGGGCACCTCCAAAATTTGACTTGGAATTCTAAGGGGCCAAACCTCAGGGATAAATATGAGCTGCAATGAAACCCACACTAACAGTCACTAACACCCATATTCAATTTATTCTCAGTCCCTATAATTGTGTTAAACTTATTGAAAATTTGTCAATATGAAAATACACTTGATCTTAGCCAAAAGGCCAAGAAGTGAATGTCAATATGAAAATAAAGACAAAGAAAACATGACCCTAAGTTTCAAATTTTTTCTGGTGTTGGGCACAGAGATGGGAACTATCCTGCACATGAGATGGTAAGACACAACACAGTAAAATTCTAAATAAAATGTAGCCCATAATCAGATCCACAGGGGTATACATAATAGAGTATAAGTTTTAAGAATTTATATGCTGAATTCATGAGTCTAAATGCCATAATTGGCACATAGGTGGACATTGTTTAGAAAGGGGAATTTCTGGATAGCAATGTTTTTATTTGTTAAATTGAGATTTTTTATTTATTGCTTAGCATGGTCTTCTATTAGGTTGTGTGGTGGATCAGAGTCCAGGATTTGCTGCTCAAAGGTTATGTCTGTTTACCATCCTGGCTGATTAGATACAGTTACAATGACATATGCACTTCTGTTTGGAATTGTGCTTCACAATTGGATGGTTGCAGGCTATGCTACAGGAATGGGTGGGGCTATAGGCTAGGTTACATGTTCAGGTGGAGATGTATGCTGGGTTCTGGGACTGGGCCAGGGCACTGGCTAGTGACCAAAATCCAGCAGATCTACTGACCCCGCTGCCTCTCTGGACAGGACCCGCACATCAGCTCTTCAGGTGGGCAGAGGCACTGGCTGAGATGTCTATTGAGGGTAACTGCTGTCCCGGCTTGCAGTGCTACTGCCAAGATGTATGCACTGGTTGCTGTGAGCTCCACTCCCTTTTTTGCCTCCAGGTGGTGTCTAGCTCTCCCAGTGCCCCTATTGTTTCTCATGATGTTAGACAGGAATGGCTTCCCTGGGAAGTTCCTCAGGTCAGTAGGTAAGTGAGTTGTCCACTCCAGTCTCTTCCCCAGAAGAGAAACTAACTGTAGACAGAGGAGCCTGGTTGCCAGTGCTGTGTCAGCCTGGGAGAGGGGCAGCAAGGTCACAGTGAAAGTGGTCCTCTGACCCTTCTAAGGTAGCTTTTCTACATTTTTGTAATTACAAGAATTGCTTTAGCCTCATCCCTGTGCTCTGGGCTTTTTACAGAGGCATTCTTTTGTCTGAGAAATTGCTAGTTGTTTTTTCTGTGCATGGGTCTAAAGGAGAAGACTTGCTGTTCTGCTGTTTTACTGACCAGATTTTTCTTTCTGATTATCTAGGATATTTGGATTTTTTTGGTATTATGGGTTATTATCTTTTGTTATATGCTGTACATTTTTATTATTAGCTTAATAGATTCTGATTCCTACTTAAATCTTTTTCTTTTGGTAGTAATCCTTTTTAGGATCAGCAGATAGGTACTGACCTACTTTTGTAGGCTGTAGTCCCAATGATGATTTAATTATCAGAGATTTTGAACGTCTTGATTAATCCGGTGCCATTTAGGGTCACACTAGTACCTGATAGCTCTGCCCGAGGGAAAATTAAGCTTCACTCACTGGAGTACTTAGAAAGTGACCCAAGACTGTGAAACTGGGTAAGGAAGACAAATATTTGCACTATGATGATGAAACGTCTTCCTAGTCATGGTGCTTGTAGCAGGATTTCAATTGCACCTGCTACTCAGCAATTCACTATTTCTGGGTGAGAGGAGAGCCTGAGACCACATAAACAGAGAGGCTTCCTGTGCTAGGCCAATGATTGTGATGGTATTACCCTTACAAGCAACACCTGGTCACTTGGTGTCTCTGGGTGGAGAAAAGGACTCTCAGGCTCAGATGAGAAGGGGAGCATTTACTGGGGCTTCTTCCTGGCAGGGGCATTTCTCTGGACAATGTTCTTACTACCCCTGAGATTGTTGATGACACTCCACTGAGTCTTGTAATGGAACAAATCTGCTGGGTCACCTTCTGTTTGGAGGACAGCCAGTGCTGGGCTTCTGATGTTGGGTAGGGGGATTGAAAATGCCACACTGCTGTGTTGTTCCTTCAATCTGGGTTTTCTAAACAGTCCACTTGTTTCTTTCTGGTTTTTTTGGAGTTTTCCTTCTTTTCCACTTACATTGCTTCTGGAAGTTAATTTTGTGCGTAGAAGGAGAAGGGGCAGGCAAGGGTCACACGATGCAGATGTATGAGCCTTTCAGCTATGGCTTTCTGTCCTGTGAACTGTAGCTATTTTGTGTCCCAGGATTTCCAAGTCTGTCTCCCCATCCCAGGAAATCATATTCACTTTTGACTTTCTCTTGAGTGCCCTGTATCCCCTGTGGATGCTACTGTCAAGAAGTTCTTTCAAGGCAGTGAAAGAGTAATCATGAGACTCTCCTTACCTGTTTATCTAAATGGATTTGAAACTTTTCAAGTCTAGTGTAAGGTTAACGCTACATATTTATTTCTGCTTTAGATAAGTAAATTCTGGGCTGTGAACAAGAATATCAATGTCCTCTTTTGTTTAAAGCTGAGCTAATCACAGTGGATTTTGATTTTCTCAATATTCTATGCCAAAGGGATTATCCTTGAGGCTGACTAAATGTCACCAGACAGGTTTTGTTTTGTTTTGCTACTTACCTCTTCCCACTAATATCTGCAAAACCACCAAAAGAAAAATTTTGTGATTCTATGCTCTTCCAAGGATTTGATAAAGTGACTTGTGCTGGGACAATGATGGTGTCCTAGGATGAAAGAAGACTTCTGCTAGCATTTTAAGTTGTTTGTGATCTCTGTGTAGTTGATAGGAAATACCATGAATTCGGCCTCAAAAAGACTGTGTGATTGCAGAACTGGTTACTACTGCCACTGTTAACCTTGGAACTGAATGTTAAGTCAACATGGCTAAAACAGTCATATCATTGCAGAAGGTGCACGTCTACCTTTGTCCTCCTATTTACCACTCAGTATATAATGGGATGACATTAAAGTCATCCCTATACAGAGGTTGGGAGAATATCATGTGGTGCAAAAGTCTGTGCTTTGGAGTGTCTTGTGTTCTGTTTGCTTATTATATTTACACTCCCTTACCAGAAAATATTGAAGAACCTTGGAAAGTAATGCTTGCGGATGCTGCTATAAAAATGGCTTCAATTACGGTAATCACCTCCCCCCAATCTAGGGAAATGAGAGGCATTGTCACAAATACTTATACGTTTTCTTTCAGTCTCTGGAAGATATTTTGGTTTCCTTTTAGAACAAATTAGACAAATAAAATTCATATGTTTAATTAACAATATATTTACTTGAATCTGTACAAAGCAGGGAAAGAGATAAAATTCTTGCTGAGTCTTTATCTGAAGTCCACGTAGTGTCATGAAGATAAGAATTACACTATCTAACAGAAAATCTGGGGGATAGTTAAATAACTTGATTATATTTGACCTTCCTGAGGTAACTTAGTCTTATACATCTCTTAGAGCTTACATGTATAGTAACTGTTTTTACAACTTGATGTACATTTAGTACTTTTACTGTCCTAATGTCTTTCTCTTTTTAAGTAGGTTTTCAAACTTTTATATCTCGGGAACTCTTTATATTCCTTAAATTACTAAGGACCTCAAAGAGCCTTTTTATGTATGTTATATTTATCAATATTAATTGCTTTAGAAATATAAGTAAATTGTATATTTTTACTAAAATGAAATGTATTTTAATAGGAAAAAGTAACTATGATAATGGCATTGTTTTCTATTTTTTCAATTTTATTTTATTTGACAGGTAGAGTTATAGACAGTGAGAGAAAGAGACAAAGAGAAAGGTCTTCCTTTGGTTTACTCCCCAAATGGCTGCTACGGCTGGCGCTGCACCGATCCGAAGCCAGGAGCCAGGTGCTTCTTCCTGGTCTCCCATGTGGAGATCATGGAGCCCAAACACTTGGGCCATCCTCCTCTGCCCTCCCGGGCCACAGCAGAGAGCTGGACTGGAAGAGGAGCAACCGGGACTAGAACCCGATGCCCATATGGGATGCCAGCGCTGAAGGCGGAGGATTGACCAAGTGAGCCATGGCGCCGGCCCCTCAAATTTCTTTAATATTTCTTTTTGGAGAATACCTGGATTCCCATATCTGGTTTTGCATTTAGTATGTTGTGATAGCTTATATCATGTATTCTCTGGAAAGCTCATTGTGTACAAACGAGGTAGTTAGAATTTTTAAGAAGACAGGGTGAACCAGGGTATTGTGCACACTCTGATCTGTGTAAGTACTTACAATTTGTCCTTTCCTTATCACATTAATGGGATCATACTGCGCATGGCCTTCTGTTTGTCTGGCTTCTTTTACTTAGCACATCATTTTGAGAGTGATTTATGATGTTGAGTATCAAAAATTGAATAAGCTATACAGTTAGCGTTCCAATATATAGATGTATCACACTTTGTCTGTAATAATCATTAAAGGATATTTAGGTTGGTTTTCACTTTAGGACAGTTATGAATAAAACTTCTGAAACATACTGGCTCTGTGTGAGCAAAAATTCCAATGTATATTGAACAAATACCTAGAATTAGATTTGTTGAGTCATACTGCAAACAGCTATTAAACCTTGTAGGAAAGTGAGAGTTTCCCAAAAAGACTTGCCACTTTGTATTCCCATCAGCAACATGTTTCAGTTCCAGTTGTCATGCATTCTTTCCAGCCCTTATTACTTTAATTTTTAAAAAAATTCAATTGTCTTTGTAAAAAAGAAATGGTGAGCTGAACATATGTATATTGGCTTCTTTCTGACTCCATTCTCTTCTCTTTATCTACACCTAGCATTTCAGCAGTACTACATATGGACTAACATAGTTTCTTAGATAAGTTTTAAAGTCAGATTGTAAGAGTTATTGATCTTTACCTTCAAAATGAAGTTGTTCAGTTTTAAAAATAATTTGATTATTTCCTCTCTAATTTTTCAAGTGAGAAGTCTCAAGTATAATTTTGGATTATTACATATTTATCTTCAATTACATGGGTTTTGCTTCATGCATTTTGGATGTCTATTACTAGAGGCTTGTTAATTTTTCATTATTTTCTTCTTGGTGAATAGCTTTTTCTTAATCATTATGCAATGTATGTCTTTATCCCTGACAGTTTTAATTAGATGGAGGCCTGCTCTGATCTCTTAGCCACCATAATTTTATGTTAATTATGCTATATAAGCTATGGCCATTTGTAATATGACTCAACAAATCTAGTTCTAGCATTTATTCATCATAAATTGGAATTATTGTTTACACAGAGCCTGTATATATTTCAGAAGCTTTATTCTTATCTATCTCAAAGTGGAAACCAACCTAAATATCCTTCAACTGGTTAGTAGAGACAAACTGTGAGACATCCATGTATTGGAACACTAACTACATAGTTTATATAACTGTTTTATCCTGCTATTTTAAAATTATATCATTATATTTAAGACAAAGTTTTTATAGATAGCATATGAGGATGCTTCAAAAATTTCATGGAAAGTGGATTTAAAAAGTAAATGTATTTTGATTAAAATTTTTTAAATCCATGGATAATTTTTCCATAATACATATTTTCATGAACTTTTTGAAAACCCTGATATAATTATGTATTTGACTGTTTTTTAAAGCATCTCATTGTTCAGTATCTTGTATTATAATCTTTGACTTGTTTGCAATTGGTACTAAAATTATATATTTTTTGTTTTAATTCTTCTTACTTAGTTTCTTGCCTTCCTTTAGGTTATGTGACTGGTATTTCATTTTAATTTTTATATTATATGCTTATATATATTTCATCATGTTCTTTTGAAAATTGTATTTTCTACTGATCACAGTAACTTTTACAGCTTACTTAGACTTGTTTACTGCATTATGTAAAACATAGATATTTTCAACCACATCAGTTTCTTTACACTTTACCCCTTATATTATAATTATCATTTATGTTGAATTTACACAGAAGGGCACTTCAAAAATCTCACGGAAAATGAAATAAAAGATAAATTTAGGGGCAGGCATTTTTGGTGGAGTTTAAGTTGCCTTTTGGGATGTCTAAATCCTATACTGGAGTACCTGGGTTTGAGACCTGGCTATTCTACTTCAGATTCATCTTGTTGCTAATATGCTGCCTGGAAGGCAGAAGGTCCACGTCCTTGGGTCCCTGCCACCCACATAGAAGACCTGGATTGAGTTCTAGGCTCTAAGCTTTGAAATCGCCCAGCCCTAGCTATTGTGTATAGTTGGTAAGTGAACCAATAGATGGAAGATTTCCCTCTCCCTCTCTGCTTTTCAAACAAAATTTAAAAAAATGAATAAAAGCTTAAAAAAATTAAACAGATTTATTTTGGTGCAAAAATTTTAAATCCATGCATTGCCTTTTCTGTTTTGTTTTTAAAATTTACTTTTTCCCTTTATTTAAACATCTTAAATAAAGCAGAAAATTGAAAAAGTTCAATCTGCACATATAGATTTAATGATTTTTAACATTTTGTCTAATTTGCTTCATATATAAACTTTATAAATACGTATAAACATACATTCCATTTTTGAAGCAGAGGTGGATAAAATAATATCACATAATGTGAGATTAATGACACAAAGCATAAAAGGAGAGAAAAAGGTATATTACCTTAAAAAGAGCATAACTCAATGAAGGTAGCATGTAAATATGTATATACCAAAATAGTGTGACATTAATATGGCAAAATAATAATAACAAAATAAAAAGAATAATATTCCAACATTAACATAAGAGAGAAACATGTGTTATTTGCCTTTCTGTGTCTGACTTATTTCACTTAACACAGTGATCTCCAATTGCATCCATTTTGTAGTAAATGTCAGGATTCCATTTTTTTATGCTCGAGTAATGTTCTATTTTGTAAGTATAACACATTTTCTTCATCCAGTAACCCACTGATGAACATTCATGTTAGCTGGAAATCTTTGCTACTGTAAATATTGCTGCAGCAAACATAGGGCATTAAGTATCTCTTTCATATTCACTTTACTTTGAATATTTTCTTTGAAGTAGAATAGCTGGGTCATAGACATATGTATGTTTAGTCTTCTGAAGAATCTCTATACATGGTTTCTACAATGGGTGTACTAATTTGGATTCTCACCAATAAAGTATGAGGTTTTCCTTTTATCCCCATCCTCACCAACATTTGTTATTTTTTTGACTTTTTGATAGCAACCGTTCTCACTGGAGTGAGCTGATATCACATTGTGGTTTTTATTTTATTTCACTGATGGCTATTGATACAAAGCAGTTTTTTTTTTTCATGTATTTGCTGGCCATTTGTATTTCTGAGTTTTTCCTTTTTAAGCATTGCCAAGCTTCTTGGATCTGTACTATTTAGTATATCTCAACAAATTGTAGGCATTTTAAGCCATTCCTTTGTCAAATATTTTTTCTATGGTGATAGTTCCCCTCTTTTTGGCTCTAATGTACAAGCATTAAACCTTTTATATGGTTCCATGGGTCCCTGAATATGCTCTATTTAATTTTTATTTTTATATTATACAATTTATTTTGATCTGTCTTCACATTCACTAAATTTTTCTCTGTCTTTATTTTTCTATTGAACCCACCCAATGAATTTTTTTATTTTATAGATTTTTGTTTTAGTTCTAAAATTTTCACTCAGTTACTCTTTACATTTTGTATTTCTTTCTTGAGGATGACTATGACTCCATTTACTGCAAGAGAACTCATCTTTACCTTTCAGAGGGTGGTTATAGCAGTTGCTTTGAATATTTGATTTCACATCTGGATTATCTCAAGATTTGTATCTGGTGATTGTGCTTTCCTTATGGTGAGGGTCTCAATTGTCTTGTTCCTTTTATGTCAAATAATTATATGTTACATCCTGGACATTTTGAATATTTTGGTATGAGACCAAAGGACCTTCTAAATTTCTACAAAGAGTATATTTTTCTTTGTTCTCATTTTGTATTGGGAAGCAATGTCATGTTAAATATAGGCTGAAAGATCTGTTCGTTCTTCTGTGGAAAAATTGACTTCTGAGTTTGTCGAGTTTTCAAAGCTTTTCTCATGCTATTTGTGTTTGTGTAATCTACCGCTTAGATGTTGGGCTAAGGATTGGCTACTTACTTACATTGCCTTCAATTATCAAAACCTTTGGGATGCTTCATTGATTTTTCTTAACACTATTCTGTTTGGTGCAATCCCAGAACATATGTCTTTTCACTTGTGGAATTTAGGAACACTCTTCCACAGTTCTTTCTTCTCTGGGGTTTCCCTCAACACTATGGCTCCAAGTATCTTTTGCTTGTGTTTCTGGCCAAAAGAATATTTCTACCTAGGGGTTTAGTTAACGATGATGTCACATACTTTCTTTTTTTATTTTTATTTTTATTTTTATTTATTTTTTATTTTTTTGACAGGCAGAGTTAGACAGTGAGAGAGAGAGAGAGAGAAAGGTCTTCCTTTTCCGTAGGTTCACCCCTCAAGTGGCTTCTATGGCAGGCGCGCTGCAGCCAGTGCGCTGCGCTGATCTGAAGCCAGGTGCTTCCTCCTGGTCTCCCATGCAAGTGCAAGGCCCAAAGACCTGGGCCATCCTCCACTGCACTCCCGGGCCACAGCAGAGAGCTGGACTGGAAGAGGAGTAACCAGGACAGAATCTGGCGCCTTGACTGGGAGTAGAACCCGGGGTGCTGGCTCTGCAGGCGGAGGATTAGCCTATTGAGCTGCGGCACCAGCCTGTGTCACATACTTTCACATACTGGGATCCACTTTCAGGATGAAAGTTTGAAAGAAAAGTAAAGAAGAAATAATATTGGATCCCTTTTTATTCTTTGACAATCACATCCCTTTTCACAGTTTCTCTGGCAAGAGAGTGTTCACACAGGATTTTACATGTTTGCACCTCCACTATGGTGAACAGACAGCTCCACCAAGGGAACCAGCCTTGGGTCATGGAGAGAGAGAAAAAGAGAAAAATAAGGGATATGAACATGGGGACCACAGCCTCCCTTCCCCCTACAGTCAAAACATGGTGAGGAATAAGACACATGAATCAGAACAATACCTGGAAATAGAGGGCTTCTCTTGGAACATTCGCTTTCACTCTCAGTGTGTCATTCTGGGGCTTAGTGGCTTCAGGTAAAAGCTAGAAAAGAAAAAAATTGAAACTCACACACTCTCTTACGAATCTGCATTCAAGTTTTGACTTTCCACTTTATCCTCTTCAAAACTCCTTCTTCCTCTTCCACCTCCTCATCTTCTTTACTTTTCAGAGCATCCAGTTTCATTTGTATTGTTTGAAGATAGACATAATCAATAGAAGAGTGGTCTTAAATGAACTTGCTCCATCATGGTCAGAACTGAAAGTTATACACCAGAATGTATAATTTTAATCTTTCCATCAAAATAAGGGTCAACAATTTACAAATATATCTATTGGGTGCATATTCTTGAATTGAAAGCAAATAAATTAATAAGAAAACATCAAATTCATAAATATACTTGCATGAGACAAGTGCATTTTATTCATTAAAGGTATTCTAGAAGACCATAGCATAAACTGATTTGTAGTTAATCTGAAAATGTTTGCATTCCCTGAGTACATTCTTTGGCAAGGCATCTTAGGTAAGATGATTTTTCTATAATTTGGTTTTAAACATATTAATTCAGAGCTTACGGATGTTGAGAGAACAAAGCAAATAAATTATGGGACTTGCATTCAAGACTTCTTTGACAAATACTAAACAAATTAATAAAATAAAATGAGGGAAGAATGAAATTAATATCTTTTAATTTCTTCAATAACCTTGAGCTCTACCACTCACTTCATCTTCTGAGTTATCTATTAACAGATAGTAAGTAAGTATAACTGTTATAGAAGGAAATGACAAATGAAAGTAAAATAAGTAATCAGATTGGACCTACTGCTATAAGCAGACAAAATCAACAGAGTCATTGACAAGTCAAGTGAGAAATCTGGGTGACCTTGGGTATGCCAATGACTTTAGATATAACACCAAAGGTATGATCCATGAGAAATAATTTGACAAGTTGAATTTCATTAAAACCTCATTAAAAACTTCTACTCTGTGAAAGACAATATCAAGAGAATGAGAAGTTGTTTACAGCCCTTGTCTCTGATGTTGAGGGACACTGTCTTTTCTCCTCATATTGTTTGTTGAGCTCTTTAATTACTGTAGGGTTAATCTTGTAAGTATAAAGTAAACTGAAAATAGATTGTTGTAAAAATTAAGAGTGGGAATAGGAGAGAGGGGAGGAGGAAGGGTGGAAGCACAGGTATAACATTTCACAACCTAGGTCTCATTGTGTGTTTAACTAAGATCAGGGAATTGGGCCAAGCGATTTTTGAACACACACATCTAATTTTCTACATTCCCACAAGTGGAAGAGATGTTTGAGGAAATTGGATTGTTATTTTGTGAAAGACATAATGGAAGGAAGAATCTCTCAAATCAGGCATGTTACTTAGAAAGTAGGGCAGGACCAGCACTGTGGAATAGTGGGTAAAGCCATCACCTGCAGTGCCAGCATCCCATATGGGCACCAGTTCGTGTCCTGGCTGCTCCACTTCTGATCCAGCTCTCTGGAGGAGGATGCCCAAGTCCTTGGGTCCCTGCACCTGCCTAGGAAGACCAGAAAGAGGCTCTTGGCTCCTGGCTTCATATCAGCACAACTCCGGCTGTTGCGGCCGATTAGGGAGTGAACCAGGGGATGGAAGACTCTCTCTCTCTCTCTCTCTCTCTCTCTCCCCCCTCGCCTCTCTCTGTGTAATTCTGACTTTCAAATAAATAATTAAATACTCTTTAAAAATAAAAAGAAAGTAGGGCATTTTCAATGATAAAACTTTCTTATGCCATTTGACCTATGAACACCAATATTTTAGATTAACCATATTGCCATTTTGGGAGTGGCAATCTTTCATTAGAAGTGATGTGCAGGATAGACACTCTCAGTCCACCACTAAGTCATCTTCCATGTGTCAAAATATTGTCAACCTGCTTGCAGGTAACAAGTGGAGTTTGGGTTTCTGCTTTTTGTCTTTACAATAAGCCAGAAAGGTGAATCGATCCTAACTAATTTAAGGAAACGATAATAATGACTTTGATAATAACATTAGTGATGATGAGGCTGGGAAGTTTTTGATAACATTTGGGAAGCACATAAAATTTAAAAAAAGATAGTTACAATTTTAGTTTCTAGAGAAGTCAGCAGCACCAAAGAAGTTGGTAGCTAGCAAAAAAATAACAATAAAGCATTACATTTGCAAGGTGCAACTGTGGTGATAATTAATCTCTGTCCTTATTCCTTCTGTCTCTCTGCTTAAAATTTACTTTGCAAGAAAAACAAAGTTTTCCTTGGGCTTACTTCTCATCTCTTGATTAATGAATGGTTATCATCTTGATCAAATAGTCCATCAAAGGCTTCGACTAATAGAAAGATAGTTCCCTAAAGTCAATTAGTACACTATTGCCAAAAGAAGTATTTATGTCTATTTTGCTTGTAAAGGTAACAGGCATCTACAATATAGCATTTTAAAGATTTATTTATTTATTTGAGAGAGAGAGAGAGAGAGAGAGAGAGAGTGAACCGCTGGTTCACTCCCCAATTGGCCGCAATGGCCAGAGCTGTGCTGACCCGAAGCCGGGAGCCGGGAGCCAGGATCTTCTTCTGGGTCTCCCACATAGGTGCAGGGGCCCAAGGACTTGGGCCATCTTCTTCTGCTTTCCCAGGCCATAGCAAAGAACTGGATCAGAAGAGGGGCAGCCTGTTCTCGAACCGTTGTCCATATGGGATGCCAGTGCCTCAGGCCAGGGCATTGATCTGCACCAGAGTGCTAGCTCCAGCATTTTAAATATTATCTCTCAGACCTTGTCTACTTCAAAACTATAAAGACAGTATGCCTTAGGAATCGCATGTGATATCTGTTTCACAAATCTTTGTATGTATGTGTGTGTATGTGTGTGTGCATCAGATTGAAAGCTTAATGGTATCAAAGCAACTTTAAAGAGGGCATATGTCGGCCGGCGCCGCAGCTCATTAGGCTAATCCTCAGCCTTGCGGCGCAGGCACACCGGGTTCTAGTCCCGGTCGGGGCACTGGATTCTGTCCCAGTTGCCCCTCTTCCAGGCCAGCTCTCTGCTCTGGCCAGGGAGTGCAGTGGAGGATGGCCCAAGTCCTTGGGCCCTGCACCCCATGGGAGACCAGGATAAGTACCTGACTCCTGCCATCTGATCAGCGTGGTGCGCCGGCCACAGCCCGCTGGCTGCGGCGGCCATTGGAGGGTGAACCAACGGCAAAGGAAGACCTTTCTCTCTGTCTCTCTCTCTCACTGTCCACTCTGCCTGTCAAAATAAATAAATAAATAAATAAGGCATATGTCAGTACAAGTTTTGAGATGGTGTGACGCCATAAAACATATGTCACATATTGTACATTTATTCCACATTCATCCGTCATTTTTCAAGGTCAAAGTCAAGTTCTTTCTATCACAGAACTCCTGTTTGATTGTTTTCTCTTAGTAATCTCCTTTTCTTTAATTTCTAATATTTTTCAAGTTTTATTCACTTGAAAGGCAGTGTCAGAGAGAGACAGAAAGATAGATACAGATAAAGATGAGAGAGAGAGAGAGAGAGAGAGAGAGAGAGAGAGATCTTCATTTCACTGTTTCACTCCCCTAAATGGCTGCAAGAGCTAGGCCTGGGCCAGGCCAAAACCAAGAGCTGAGTCTCCCTTGTGGATGACAGGGGCCCAAGCACTTGGGCAATCCTTCACTGCCTTCCTGTTATCACTGCACTCCCAGTCATGTTATCAGGAAGCTGCAGTGGACCCAGAGCAGGTGGGACTCAACTCACACTCCAATACTGGATGCTGCCACTGTGAATGGCATCAGTTACAGCTCCACAACACTGACCCCTCATTTATCACAGGATTTTTTAAGTAATTTATTAATTAATTATATAGAAGAGAAGATGTACAGCACTGTGCTAGAAAAAGAGTTTACACCTTGATTTGCTAACTACTTTGATTAGTAAAATGGACTTCCATCATCATTATTAAAGTATCTGGGATAAATGAGTTGTCATGTATTGTAAAATCTTAGCATCCTCAGACACGCATAATCTTCAGTGCTCTGTCATGTTCTGTTGCAGGATTCTGTCGCTCCCCCTCTTCGTGGAGGAACGACACTAAACCCTGCCTAGGCTTCATATCCGAGTCACGGCACCATTATGTCGCTCCCCCTCTTCGTGGAGGAACGACACAGGACCCTGCGCTGTTCTTTCATCTGCTCGGCCCTCCCCGGGTTTGCTGCTGGTTCTTCCCGGGTTGGCTACTATCCCTTCCACCTCCGTGGAAGGGCAGTTCCCCCTGGCCACATTCCCCACTTCCGCAGGGGAGCGGCACACTGCCGGCCGGTTCTCTCGGGGGCTGCACGGGTGTTCCCCTTAGATGTTCCCCATAGATGTTCCCGGTGCATGCCATCTCTCTCCTCCTTTATAGTCCTCCTCCGCCAATCCCAACTCGGCTGCCCACACGCCGAGTACGCTGCTCTCCAATCAGGAGCAAGTCCTACAGTTAATTGGTTGAACTGGAGGCAGCTGTGCGGAAGCTGTTTACTTCTCTCCCAGCGCCATATTGTGGGAGAGCAGATGCATAGAATAAGTCTTAATTCCAGTAACTCAGTCTAGTCCGGGTTGCTCCCCACAGGATTCCTTCCATGTGAACTGTAAACAGACAATTTTGAAAATATCAAAAATGCTAAAGAGTGCTTTATTTCAATAGTATAAAATTTTTAAAAAATTCATTTTTTAACTTTTACTTAGTAAATATAAATTTCCAAAGTACAGTTTATGGATTACAATGGCTCCCCCCCCCATAATTTACCTCTCACTCGCACCCCTCCCATCTCCCGCTCCCTCTCCCATTCCATTCACATCAAGATTCATTTTCAATTATCTTTATATACAGAAGATTGATTTAGTATATATTAAGTAAAGATTTCATAAGTTTGCACTCACACAGAAACACAAAGTGTAAAATACTGTTTCAGTACTAGTTATAGCATTACTTCACATTGGACAACACATTAAGGACAGATCCCACATGAGGAGTAAGTACACAGTGACTCCTGTTGTTGACTTAACAATTTGACAATCTTGTTTAAGGCGTCAGTAATCTCCCTAGGCTCTCTTCATGAGTTGCCAAGGCTATGGAAGCCTTTTGAGTTCACCGATTTCGATCTTATTCAGACAAGGCCACAGTCAAAGTGGAAGTTCTCTCCTCCCTTCAGAGAAAGGTACCTCCTTCTTTGATGGCCCTGTTCTTTCCACTGGGATCTCACTCACAGAGATCTTTCATTTAGGTCTTCTTTGATCACACTGATAGGTCTAAGAGTCAAAGGGATCACACAAACAAGACTAGTGTCTGCTAGTACTAACTGACAGAATAAAAAAGGGAGAGAACGATCCAACATGGGAAGTGGGATACACAGCAGACTCATAGAATGGCAGATGTCCTAAATAGCACTCTGGCCTCAGAATCAGCCCTTAAGGCAGTCGGATCTGGCTGAAGAGCCCATGAGAGTATTTTAGGCATGGAAAGCCAAGACGCTCTGGCAAAAAAAAATTCATTTTTAAGGAAAAGAGCATATTTGTAGCTAAAAATGGAAGCAATTTATTAACATATAGTTTTTACTAGGTGCTTTATACATTTTAAGTTAAATTGAATGACCAAAAATAAAATTTTGAGAATATTCATAGAAGGAAGTATAAAATCTGTTATTTCTAAAATAATTTTTACATAAAAGTTTAGAACTCAACCAACGTGAAATTCACTAGCAGTAAATTAACACTCTTGTTCTCAAATGCTGCCTACTTCAGATTTCCTAAGAAACAATAATGCTTGATTTAGGATGTGCAATTAGACTTCTGCAACACTATTATATTATTTAATTTTCCTTTATCACTACAACTTTATGTGCATTTGATTTTACTAAAAGTCATAAGGTTCTAAACTTTAACTTTTGTTCTGTTTTGATAGGCTCTGTTATTTGAAACTATAGGTGTCATGAAATATGAAGAATTATTTTTAATGTTATTGTCACTGGATTATACAAAACCAGTTTCAGACGAGAATGTTACAGTGACAGATACAGCATTTGGTGACATTCCAGTACGTTTGTACTTACCCAAGAGAAAATCAGAAAGACAGAGACCAGCTGTAATTTTTCTTCATGGTGGTGCCTTTGTCTTAGGAAGTTGCAGTAAGTACATTTTATTTAATATTTATATGTTTATTTGTTTTATACATGTTTTGATATTCATATTAAAATGTATTAAATGAATATATGTAATATTGATGGAAATTTATTGATATAATATTTATTTTTATGAGTATATGGATATACCATACTGAGATGGTAGACTATATCAATCATAGTTCACAGATATGTCTTCAAATAAAACTTGGCACACATAGTATATTATTTTAAGACATCTGGCCTTTCTCTGCGGAATCACCATGGCGGCCGGGACCCTGTACACATACCCTGAAAACTGGAGGGCCTTTAAGGCCCTCATCGCTGCTCAGTACAGCGGGGCTCAGGTCCGCGTGCTCTCCGCACCCCCCCACTTCCACTTCGGCCAGACCAACCGAACCCCTGAATTTCTCCGCAAATTCCCTGCTGGCAAGGTTCCAGCATTTGAAGGTGATGATGGATTCTGTGTGTTTGAGAGCAACGCCATTGCCTACTATGTGAGCAATGAGGAGCTGCGGGGAAGTACTCCAGAGTCGGCTGCCCAGGTGGTGCAGTGGGTGAGCTTTGCCGATAGTGACATAGTGCCCCCAGCCAGCACTTGGGTGTTCCCCACCTTGGGCATCATGCATCACAACAAGCAGGCCACTGAGAATGCAAAGGAAGAGGTGAAGCGGATTCTGGGGCTGCTGGATGCTCACTTGAAGACGAGGACTTTCCTGGTGGGCGAGCGAGTGACACTGGCTGACATCACAGTTGTCTGCACCCTTTTGTGGCTCTATAAACAGGTCTTGGAACCTTCTTTCCGTCAGGCTTTTCCGAATACCAACCGCTGGTTCCTCACCTGCATTAATCAGCCCCAGTTTCGGGCTGTCTTGGGGGAGGTGAAACTGTGTGAGAAGATGGCCCAGTTTGATGCTAAAAAGTTTGCAGAGAGCCAGCCTAAAAAGGACACTCCACGGAAAGAGAAAGGCTCACGGGAGGAGAAGCAGAAGCCCCAGGCTGAGCGGAAAGAGGAGAAAAAGGCAGCTGCCCCAGCTTCTGAGGAAGAGATGGACGAATGCGAGCAGGCACTGGCTGCTGAGCCCAAGGCAAAGGACCCCTTTGCCCACCTGCCCAAAAGTACCTTTGTGTTGGATGAGTTTAAGCGCAAGTACTCCAATGAGGACACTCTCTCTGTGGCGCTGCCATATTTTTGGGAGCACTTTGACAAGGATGGCTGGTCTCTGTGGTATGCTGAGTACCGTTTCCCTGAGGAGCTCACGCAGACTTTCATGAGTTGCAACCTCATCACTGGAATGTTCCAGCGGTTGGATAAGCTGAGGAAGAATGCCTTTGCCAGTGTCATCCTCTTTGGAACCAACAATAGCAGCTCCATTTCTGGAATCTGGGTCTTCCGAGGCCAAGAGCTTGCCTTTCCGCTGAGTCCAGATTGGCAGGTGGACTACGAGTCGTATACGTGGAGGAAACTGGATCCAAGCAGCGAGGAAACCCAGACGCTGGTTCGAGAGTACTTTGCCTGGGAGGGGGCCTTCCAGCATGTGGGCAAAGCCTTCAATCAGGGCAAGGTCTTCAAGTGAATGCCTCTTGCCATCGCCTAGCTGCCTGCACCTGCCCTTCAGGGAGATGGGGGTCATTAAAGGAAACTGAACATTGAAAAAAAAAAAAAAAAAGACATCTGTAAAAATATTTGATTTTAAATAAAGTTAGATTGATGGCATAGAATGGAAGGTTCAAACAGTAAACCTGAAAAAAGTTTGAAATCACTAAAGGATCATACTTCAGGTTCAGTGAGCAAGATGTTTTAATGTTAGATCAGAAATGCTATAATTTGTAGTCACCAAGTAGCAAGCACCTATTCAAATTGTGGACCGATATACAACAATAACGCTGAGGCTTAGAATTTAATGCTTAACTTTTATCTAAAAAGAAAAGACCAAATATAACTGGAAAATCAGCTCCTTTCTTGAAATCTGCATTCCCATCTAATATTCAGTGATGATTCCAAGAGGTGCAGTTGAATAGCTCACTCACACATGCACACTCCATTCATACAATGTTTTTTAGACTGTTGGTGAATATTACAGTCACTACCCAACAAAGATTTCAAAGGATATTATACTAGGTACTTAGAAGATATAAAGCAAGTTATATGATGCCTTTCTTCAAAGAACCCTTAGTCTGATCATTATATTCAGAATTTTGGTTCCATGCTCCATAACATTTAAAAACAAGCAAACATGCTTTTGCAATCAATTGGGTGGCCAGCTTTCACTTTGCCAGGTAAACACCTACTCAGGATATTATTGCCACAATTTTGTAGGTGAGGAAACAGATATAGAAGATGAAGTAATTTTGCCAAAGTCCTAAGCTAGCAAGTGCTGAAATCAATGGTCAAGCCCAGGCATATTGGTAGGACCTCAGATTTAATCATTGCATTACTCATGAGGCCATCCCATCATGCTCTCAATGTGGCTGAAAGATGCTGTTTCAGAGGTAGATGTTTCCTCCCAGCTCCCTCAATGTTATCACTCAGCTTTCAGCACTCTCCCCAAGCCTATCTCCTCCTTCTTCATCAGTTACCGAGTATGTATGTTCATAAATTCTGCACCTTGTCATGCCACTCCCCTGCTCCCTGCCACCCACAACATACATCTTAAAAATCATTCGTACCTTAAGTATCCTATCCTTTATTCTTTCTACATAAGCCTTATGAAAGAATATTTTAATCTCTATTTTGCTAGAGATCAAATTTCCTCCTATTTCATCTTTTGATTTTATCAATATTTCTCTTTTGTTCTTCTATCTACAAACATGCTACTTGATTAATTTTTTTCAAGTTGTGTAATTTGAGGATAGCCATTCTACTCTATTTTGCTGAAACTGTTGGTTCCTTTGGTTTCTGTCAAATAAGTTTCTTTGAAATTTTTTGTGTCTCCTTTCCCTGTCTCTTCATTTACCCTTCTCTTTGAAACAAAACAAACACTGAAAAACAGGTTCTCTCTTTACTCTTTACAAATGCTTGTGTTCCCCAGTAGTTCCTTCTTCAGTTTTTTTTTTACCCTAAAATGTCCTTTTATTTTGCCTTTAATACCCTCCTCCCCACATTCATGTTGAATTTTGGCTCTGTGTCTCCTTTATAATAATATTACTTAACATTAGAGCAATATAAACAGCTGCTGAAAAACGCAGTACAGCTGGAAGAATCACAGCTGATCTCAGTTTAACACAATCTCTAGCTTAACCCAGCTAAGAAGCAATAAAATGGGGTTAAACCTAACACATTCCGAGATCAGACAAGATTGGGCACGTTCAGGGTTAACACATTCTCAAGGTTAGCAAACATAATCATTTCTACCTTCTAATAGTTTCAGAAAATAAAGGAACAACAACGATAACTCCAAAAAATAAGTAAAGAAAATGCTCCTCAGCTTTTTTTTCTGTCAGTAAATGGCCACAATGATCAATTAAATGATCAATTACAATTAAAGTCCTTTTATTGTCATCATTTCTTCTACACATCTTCCCGTTTCCATCCATGGTAAAGACAATTATTGATAATTTAGATTCCTTTCTGTTGTGTATTCTTTTCTTATTTACTACCATGTCCTCATCTGTATAGCTCTATTACTGATTTTTGCTTTAGGATTTGCAAATATGGCTGTATGTATAATCTTACTATATGTTTTAAGTATTATCCACCACTTGTAGATAAAGAAACACTTAGTGTAGCATCCAAGTTCAGAGACCTATTTTCCTCTGTTATCCAATTTTCAGCCCCCTTCTCCTCTCTAAATTTTAATCTCAATTGTATGTAATGGTACTTATTTCCTTGACATCTCCATATATTTTCATGAGTTTTGACCTTTAAATATCTTTCCCTACATTATCCTTCCCCATATGATAGCAGCCATCATATCCTTATCTTTCAATCATTAGTACATGCCAGACAGCCTTCTGCAGATTGAATGCTGAATTAGTGCCTGTTGAATGAATGAATGAATAAATATATATCGAATGAAAGAAATTTTGACATTAACTTCGAATGGTATTTTATCACAAATTTTACCCAATCTTGTTTATCTTTACACTGCTTTTGTTTTAAGTATTTAACAACCACATTTAATCCGTAATTAGCTTATATATAATACTGATATAGTATTACCTTCAGCTTAATTCCAGGTTCTGTCTTATTCTGTCATAACAGAGTTTTATTGGATGGAATGATAGTTAAGTGTTTCAGTTACAGAGTATGAAGATACACTTTCTTTGTTCTCAGTTCTTAAAATACCGAGAAGTAGACATTTAAAAAGGGGAGCGTCCATATATTGTATCTACTACTGATAAAATCTTGGAGAACGAGTCCATAGGTCTTGCTAATGGGTTATCCTTGATTATTAGCTATTTACTAATAGCTATATGCACAACAACAGCTTCTGGTTGATATAACCAGTGAGGGAAAGGAGCACAGCATGACATATCTGGGCCATCTATGGTGTCTGATGCCTATCAAAGTATGCAGCACAGTGAACCTGGAAGGAACGTTTGGACACCAACCAAATGCATCAACAGGGCATGACAAACTTCCTCACTAATTGTTACCAATCATGTGTCTTTTCGCTGACTTTGGTGAGGAATGATTTAGTAGGTGAAAGGTCAGTAAGGTTTTGTTACTCTGTCAGAAGTCCCTGCACTTGGCAATAGAATTGAGGACCATGGGGGATTCCATCAATTAACCAAATCCATATTTCTACCAGATTTCATGAGTATGAGTGGTTTTCCAATGCTCTTTATTTACACAGTTTACTTTTATGCTTGTTTGTTTATTTATTTTCAGAGCAGACACCTTATGACTCCCTGAGTAGACGGACAGTCAACAAACTTGACGCTGTTGTCGTTGGAGTGGAGTAAGAGAAAAATATTTAAATATATTTATTAATACTACAGATCCGAATGCCTTAAAGGCTGATTCTGAGGCCAGAGTGCTGTTTAGGACAACTGCCATTCTATGAATCTGCTGTGTATCCCGCTTCCCATGTTGGATGGTTCTCTCCCTCTTTTATTCTATCAGTTAGTATTAGCAGACACTAGTCTTGTTTATGAGATCCCTTTGACTCTTAGACCTATCATTATGGTCTATTGTGACCTGAAATTGATCACTTGGACTAGTGAGGTGGCATTGGTACATGCAACCTTGATGGGATTGAATTGGAATCCCCTGGCACATTTCTAACTCCACTACTTGGGGTAAGTCAGCTTGAGCATGTCCCAAATTGTACATCCCCTCCCTCTCTTATTCCCACTCTTATATTTAACAGAGATCACTTTTCAGTTAACTTTAAACACCTAAAAATAATTGTGTATTAATTACATAGCTCAACCAATGGTATTAAGTAGAACAAACAAAAATACTGAAGAGCCCATGAGAGTATTTTAGGCATGGAATGCCAAGACACTCTGGAAAAAAAAAACCTAAATGAAAGACCTCTGCGAGTGAGATCCCAGTGGAAAGAACAGGGCCATCAAAGAAGGAGGTACCTTTCTCTGAAGGGAGGAGAGAACTTCCACTTTGACTGTGGCCTTGTTGAAATAAGATCAAAGTTGGCGAGCTCAGGGGGCTTCCATGGCCTTGGCAACTCATGACTAGAGCCTGGGGAGATTGCAGAAGCCTTAAACAAGAGTGTCAAATTATTAAGTCAACAACAGGAGTCACTGTGCACTTACTCCCCATGTAGGATCTCTGTCTTTAATGTGTAGTTCAATGTGAATTAATGATATGACTAGTGCTCAAACAGTATTTGGCAATTTGTGTTTTGTGTGGGGGCAAACTGATGAAATCTTAACTTAATATATACTAAATAGATCTTCTGCATATAAAGATAATCGAAAATGAATCTTGATGTGAATGGAATGAGAGAGGGAGCAGGAGATGGGAGGGTTGCAGGTGGGAGGGAAGTTATGGGGGGAGAAAAAGCCATTGTAATCCATAAACTGTACTTTGGAAATTTACATCTACTAAATAAAAGTTAAAAAAATTTATTAATACTACAATCCTTGTCTTGTTGACACAAGTTTTATTTCCAAAGCAAATCACCCAAACCTCAAAAATGACTTGACCCTAGGCTTTTGCAGTTTCTATCGATATTTTTATTAGCATTATATGTTTCCTTCAAATGGTCAAGTCTACCTTGACTACTCTGAGGGATACAAGAGAGTGAATGTTGTTGGCAACAAGCTGAGATAATCTATAAGGACATAAAGCTCAGGTTCTAGAGGACTGATTTAATCACCAGGTAACATACCTAGAAATGGGAAGCTTACCATTGAACATTTGGGATGCTATGTTTAGGTTGAACTGGGAATAAAAGGATAAATTGTGTAGACCTCTTTAGTTAGAGGAACATCAGGTGACAAAAGTTGAACTATCTGATCATGTCAAGTTATTCTCAGAGCAAGAGATTTTAATATATTATGCTTTTTGTCCAAATTTCCAAGAATATGCCAGAGAGAATTGTGAAAGTCCAGCACTTACTGACTAATTTGAGTGTACTCTGGACTTTTAAACCACCATTTTCAGCAGAAATGTGCTCAGAGACCAGTAGCCAGATGCTGAGGAGACAATGTGGTGGCACGACTTGGCTGAAGAGCAGTATAATGAGCGTCAAATAAAGCATACAAATAGAATCAGTGCTGCCCTGGTCATTATTACTCTTTTATAGTAACCAGAGTTTTAATTAAAAGATAGCCTAAGATTCCTTTTATTATTTTAATTCAGGATATCACTTCATTATTTTTTTAAAGATTTATTTATTTACTTGGGACTGGGCCAAGCTGAAGCCAGGCTAGAATGTCATTTGAGTCTTCCATGTGGGTGCAGGGGCCCAAGCACTTGGACCATCTTCTGCTGCTTCCCCACATGCATTAGTAGGATGCTAGATCAGAAGTGGAGCAGCCATGGCACGAACCCGTGCCCATATGGGATGCTGGCATTGCAGGAACTGACTTAACCTGCTGTACCACAATGCCAACGACACTTCATCATTTTTAAAATGATGATATATATTGTACTTGACCTAAAAATTCTATCAATTACTTAATATATTTATTGTTATTTATCCTGAAGAACATTTAAGGTAACAATTACATTTTTATATTACTAGGTTTAGATTATGTAATATTTTAGATACAAATTACAGTGTGATGAGGTTTCAAAGAGCTATCTGACCAACATTAAATGGTTGGTATTGAGATATTTATAATTCTCTAATTCTTATGGCTATTGTGATTAATACTATAGATATATTTAAAAAGACAATCAAATAGGAGTGTGTCTGTAACAGAAGATAATGTATATGTGTTTCTATGCCCATATGTATATATATGTATTTACATATACCTACACATAGGGTACTTCAAAAATTTTGTGGAAAAATGGAATTAAAAGTATGAATTTATTTTGGTGCAAAAATGTTTTTGACACAAGCATTTCATAATACAAATTATCCATATATTTGAAATTTTTTTCTTTAAAATTTTACAGTAAAATAAATTTATACTTTTAATATAATTTTCCACAAACTACATATATATATACATACACATATGCATTAAAAGATACTGCAATAATTTGTTTTACAAATGAACATGCAATAATTAAGAAAAATCTCCTTGCCATACTTATTTTAATTCCATGAGTTTTTAAAATCAAATGTTTACATAGTGCTTATGAAATGAAATAAAATATACTGTTTCACAGATTTTTGATTTTCATAAATTTGTAATGTAAGACACCGAAAAAAGTTTTCTCCTGGATTTTTTGCTTCTAAAATGTCCTCTGCCTTCCCATCAATGGTTCTGAAACTTCTGAGTCACCTACCACATTAAGAACTGGATGAATGCTGCTGAACAGCTTTACCACTAGTTGTTCTTGTGCTGAATATCTTCCATGCATAGATCCTTTCTCTCTCATCCCTGCAGAACATACATTTTACAACTTTTATGCCAGTAATCACTTCTGACTTTAAAATACAAGTTAGTAGTAAGCCCAGGTTTGATGAAGTTAAAGATTTGAAGCACGACCAGTTTTGATCAGTGGATCTGTTGGCTGATTTAGATTCACAGCCTAAGCTTAGTCATGCATGCTTTGTGGCTCTGTTTTTTTTTTTCTCTCCTGAAGCTTCAGATTAGCTCCTCAATATCAATTCCCAGTTCTCCTTGAAGATGCGGTTTCTGCGGTCAAGTTCTTTCTACAGGATAACGTTGTTGAGAAATATGGAGTGGATCCCACCCGAATCTGTTTAACTGGAGATAGTTCCGGGGGTATGCTGGCCGCAAAAGCAACTCAACTGGTATGTTTATAACACACACACACACATATGCACACACACACATATGCACATACACACATCACATATTCTAACACAAAAGAATAATTTTATTCTATTTACAATATTTGTATGAGTCTTAGTCTTATACTTTGACCTGGGGAATGGAAAAGAACCCACTCCTAACCAAACAACTCTCTATCCTTCTTTGCATAATTTTGCCTTTAGATAGATATGGCTTTAAAAGCTCTGAGGGGGCACTAAATATAATGCTGAATAAGCCTATTTACTCTTATAATTTTAAGAAAAATACTGCAATGCTTAGGAACCAGTATTTAAAATGACTTGGTGCTTATTTTTCTCTGTAAGTAGTTGTAAGGTCTTCTTAGCAATTAAATTCATTGCAATTGATGTTTTAGACCCTGAAGGATATCTTAAGATAACATTTGGGCCATGTGTCATACCTATATAGAAAAACCACTACTGTGATAAAGAGAAAAATGGTCTCATGCTAAAAAAACACTTTCTGTGTGTATTGAAATAGCTCACCAAACAAATGATATGTTTTTAAATGGATTCAGGCCAATACATAGTTCTCACCTTTGAAACTTTTTTTAATGGAACAAAATTAGCCTAAGCAGAGAGGTACTATTACAGTGTGCAGACTGACCTCTACTTACAAAGTGAATATGGTCTCAAAAGTTCATTAAGTTGTTTTTACAACTTTAAATAAAAATAAAACAAAATGAATGATAGTGATCTCTGGACATCACATTTAGTATGCAAAACAAGGAAAATAAGCCTACATCGCCTTCTTTTCATCATCTCAGAGCTGCCCTGCTATGAATCTTCACGCAAATGAAGCCAATGGGTTTTGACTATGGTTTAAAATCTTCCCTGTCTGTGTTGAGAAAATCTTTGGCATCGACAAATCCACCAGCAGGGATTTAGCCAGAGAAAGTTCTTAACACAGGGAGGAAGCAATTCTGGGAGAACTTGGCTAGTGTAGAGGGCAGAGGAAGGGGTTGGGTGCATATATCTAGTTTTTCTTGGAACATAGGTCTGTATGCAAGAAATCTACATACTTTACTTTTGCTTTTGGTTTTTTGAAGTTGACTCCAATAGCATCAGTAGTGTATAGCATCTCTCTCTAGACTAGTCACTTCCCATTTTAAGACAACTTCCCCTTCCATTATGAAATTATTGCATAATTCTAATTAATAACATAAATTCCAAATATACCAACCCATATGAAGTTATAAAAGCTCAAAGCCTTCTCTGGAGTTATTTATCTTAATGCTCCATTTGATGGGACCCTCATTATACAAATAGAGGCTTTGTGAAGAATATAGTAAGTTATCAGCAAACCTCTAGAGCAGGAAGTGGTTTTTCTGAAAGAAAAACACAAAAAAGAGAGGAGACGCTCGAAAGACATATAACCAAGTTTTAAATAAGCACATAACTCATTATTAACAAATTTTATTGTGAATTATAGTGTAAAGAAATTCTTGGGATATGTCACTTTTTCCATATTCAGGCTTAGTACCTTCAGATAGTTTCTCAGAGGTGGAAAATCATAATGACTAAGGCTAGAAGACATATTTTTGCCAAACAAATGTAAGAGATTAGCTTAGGCATAAAAAATGTAAATCAGAGTCTACTTCATTTCATATTCTTATATAGCCATAATCATAAGGATCTTATATTAATGTATTTTTTCATTGCTGCCAAAATAGAATATTTTTACTGGCAATAATACATATAAGGGATTTGATTTCTTTTTCAGTTGACTCACTATGCATGGCATATGTTAATTTGTTTCCTAAATTTTTTTTTGTAATTAACAATTATCAATTGCTAACCAAAGATATTAACATTTTCTGTATTTTTTGAGTCCATATTATTTATGTGATTTTGAATTTTCTATTTCTTTTCTTTAAATTTAAATTTAGGCTGGCATCATGGCTCACTTGGTTAATCCTCTGCCTGCAGCATCGGCACCCCAGGTTCTAGTTCTGGTTGGGGCACCGGGTACTAGTCCCAATTGCTCCTCTTCCAGTCCAGCTCTCTGCTGTGGCCCGGGAGGGCAGCGGAGAATAACCCAAGTGCGTGGGTCCCTGCACCCGCATGGGAGACCAGGAGGAAGCACCTGTCTCCTGGCTTCGGATCGACACAGTGTGCCGGCCTTAGCAGCCATTTGGGGGTAAACCAATGGAAAAAGGAAGACCTTTCTCTCTCTCTCACTGTCTAACTCTACCTGTCAAAAAAAATTTGATAAAGTTTTATTTAATAGAAAGAATATCTCTTATCTATGTATGTGTACATGTCATTCTACTCCTAAAATTATTAATGCACTAATACCCCTGTGCTACTTTTTAATCTTTGTTATGATTTAATATCTTATAGAACTGATGTCTTAAAATATTTTTTCTTGGTTTAAATTTGACATTTACTATTTCTTTTCTTCTGCCAGATCACATCATACTCCACTTAAAACATGAATATGTTCATAGCAGATAACTATTTTGTAGGCCTCCTTGACAATCTTCAATGTAATTATATTTTTTTTGACAGGCAGAGTGGACAGTGAGAGAGAGAGAGACAGAGAGAAAGGTCTTCCTTTTGCCGTTGGTTCACCCTCCAATGGCCACCACGGCCGGTGCACCGCGCTGATCTGAAGGCAGGAGCCAGGTGCTTCTCCTGGTCTCCCATGCGGGTGCAGGGCCCAAGCACTTGGGCCATCCTCCACTGCACTCCCTGGCCACAGCAGAGAGCTAGCCTGGAAGAGGGGCAACCGGGACAGAATCCGGTGCCCCGACCGGGACTAGAACCCGGTGTGCCGGCGCCACAAGGCGGAGGATTAGCCTATTGAGCCACAGCACCGGCCGATCTTAAATATAATTAATATTTATTGAGTACTTACTATAGTTTTAGAACTCTTGTTCGTTAGCATAATCTCCTTTTCGCTACACACAAAAAATATACATATAGCACTGGTGAAAACTATTTCCTCTATAGAGATTAGGAAACTAAGATTTTGAAAGGTGAGGTAACTTGCTAAGTACCATAAATTAATATGTTGTAAAAAATCAGGGCTCACACTTACATATGAACAACCCCAAAGCTTATATTTTCAAATATTGAGTGATACAGCCTTTTGCCTCTTTCCCTTGGTGGATTGGGTATTGGACTTGGATATCATATCACTATGAGCATGCTTCTGATTCTAAAACTGTTTTAGTGTCTTACTTCAGAGGCACATAGGGGGATTTGAAATTTCATAGCTAAAGTAGGGAGCACAAATAGAAAGGATAAATCCACAAGGTAAAGAAGATGGAGTCAGTCAGGCAGTAGTTTTGCAATACTGAGCACCCTGGAAAGCCCTAAGTGGAAGTCCTATAGCCCTCAGCTGGACTGAGTGTGTCTTCTGGGATAAAGCTAACATCCTTCTCTCATTGGTAGTCATTCATTCATGGTAGCCCATGGTAGAGAAAAAAAATAGATAAGTTAGATAAGCAAGATTTCTCACTAAGTCAAATGCTTGATGGATATTCTACATACAGTCGTCATTCCATGGCTGTACATGGGGGAGGGTAAGACTCCAAGGACAATGAATACTACTTACCAAACCACTGACCAAGTGAGAGTTGTACTTCTGGATCAGTGATCAGTCCACAGATGAAGTGAAGAAAGCCCAAGGATAGTGAGATGAGTGGTGAGGGAATGGAATATGACTCTTGAATAGGACATTCAGCCCGAGTTGTGTTCTGGTGATCTCAAAGCCATCTGGGACATGAGGTCATATTCAGTATTCTTCAGGTTTTCCAGAGCAGGCTAAATAAATGACAGAGGTGTTCATGAAAGCTACTGCCTTGAGAGACAATGTTAAAGACAATGGATCCACTGAGTACTATGGACCTCTCTGAGCAAGAATTAAAGTCATAGAGCAGAGCTTTTCAGCATGTTGCAACAACATCCAAATTACATAACTCCCACAGGGCAGGGCCAGAACCTGTTGGTGCGCAGAATTGAAAACCAGTCTGGGGGTGAAACAACAGCGTCTAATTCAAAGAGGTCAAAAGGGAGTGGCAATTGGTGATGCTGTGAAATCATGGGATAATAAGTACAGATACCAAGGTGATCAAGAACATCACTGGTATGTTAGGGATGAAGAGCAACATCACCTTCACGAGATGCCTATAGCAGTGTTTTACAATGAAAGCATGCACACACATACACACAGACAGACAGACAGACAGACACTTTTTAAATTGAAATTCCTGACCTCCAAAAATTTTAAATGAATTCTAGGAAATCATCATGTGTTATCGTTTTCTCTTAGAATCTGTGTCTTATCCAAAAAACACCAATCATTATAACTTTGAATATCTCACAAATATTCCCGTCTCCCATTCCTACTGCTTTACTCCTATCCTTAAAATCTCTTGCCAAATCTGTGGAAAGGATTTTCAGCATGGTTTCCACAGACCCATTATTGCTTAGAAGGTTACCTCTGGTAATCAAGTCTGGAACAGGACATGGAAAGCCCTTTTTAACCTGGCCCTGAAGGTGGCCTTCAAACTCATATAATAGGGAGCTGGCTAAATAACTTCTGGGGTCAGGGTCAAATGAAAATGCAGGACCATTTCTTCAAAAAGCTAGAAAAGTTGTTGTTAAAGGTATAAATGCATGAAGCTTTTCCTGTAATGATTCCCTACTTATAAATATAAGTGACATAACTGCCATCTAGGAAAAGGAATTTAAAATTTTAATTTATTAGCATGAATTTTGAAGTTCATATTTATGTTATGCTATGCTAGTTTTGAATGCAAATATGCACATTTAACACATAAGCAGAATCACTGATGTTTTGTGGCTTATATGTGCATATGTATTTTGTTCTTACCAGAAGATATTGGAAATGCACATAAAATTGTTATTTCACTATTGATATGCACACATTCTACCAACACTCTCTACCTCCATTTTATCGATGATTAGGGGATGATTGAAAGTAAGAGAATCTATGGTTTGCACTATCTTCTCTTTTCTTTCTGTGTCATTATTTGTACTCTGGCTAAAATAAGGATGCCATATGAATCAGAAAGCATATGATAGGGTTCATTGGTTGTTTGCATTTCCTCTACATTTACAGTGAGTTCTGGTTCCAACGGAAAGATTGACTTCTTAAGGCTGTCAGACTCTGTGCTTATTTAGAACCAATCAAGTTTGTACAGAACATGGGAACAGAATTCTGGTAGATCCAGTTTGTGAGGTAGTTCAGCAAGGCTCAGATAGAATAAAAACTAAGCTAAGTACATTGTGGAACTAGCAATTGTGAATTTTATATTCAAATGAGGTATAAATATATATGCTGCCTTCCCTGCCCACATAGCTGCTTCATTGTACTGTTGGACTTCAACTACAAAACAAGATAGAAGATGAAATTATTAAGAATTTCAGGTTAGGATTGTGACTGCTGAGGTAACCATGCATGAAGTACTTTGCACAGCGGGTCATCCATGTACCAGTACTTGACTCATGCCTTAAAGTCAGCCCAAATGGTGGGAATTAATCTTTACCTAAGTAAACCAAGTTTTTGAAGACATTAACTTAAACAGCATGATCAACAACAAATATAAAGAGTTTGACATTGAAATTGGATTGCTTCAATAAGGAGTAGCACTGTGAATCCTTCCTACTAAAGATGAATTGTTCAGTACCATACTGTATGATTGGAGTGCTTCAGGAATTAGCAAAATGAGGAGAGCCTCTGTTAAATGTAACACCAGCCCTTTATATCCTGAGTTACCAGAAATCCTAATTGTAGTGAAAAATAATCAAATATTAATTCAACAATTTCACTTTTGTTCTGAAAGGCAAGGGTAAGAATATAATGTATTCTATGTGGTCTCTTTCTTGACCTTGCGTTTTTATTCCTACTTGGTTTTGAAGTAATCACATCTTTAGTTCAATAAGTCACTTCCTTGCACTCAAATACACATAATTTGTCCATGAGTTAGTAAATGTGTATTCACTTGTGTGCTATTCACTTCCCAGGGTCCTCCCTTCTTTCAGGGCTTGTGTGGGGGGGGGCTAAATGACATTGCTTCATTGCTCCCCTGCTTTCTGGTTTCTCTGTCCTCTTTGAGAGCTTATGACACTAAGACAAAGCAACTTGGCCATGCATTCTTCAATAAACAAGGGTTATTATAGAAATCTACTTGTCATATTCCTGGTATTACTTTTCCAACACTGTTTTTGGTTACAAGGATAGCATATTTCCTGTTTAAAGAGTGGAAGTCTGAGTAACAATATTAATTCATTCACCTTTCTATTTTTCTTCACTAACATGTATGCAATATATATATTTTCACTTATCATATATTTCATGTATAATATATAATACATTATATTAATATATCAGTATTTAAGAAATTAATGGATATGCATCACATAAAATTAATATATCATATTTATCATATACATATTATTAAACTTGGAAGTATGATTGGTAGGAAGAAAGAAAGAGAGGGAGAGGGGCCAGTGCTGTGGTGCAGCGGGTTAACGCCTTGGCCTGCAGTGCCAGCATCCCATATGGGTGCCAGTTCTAGTCTCAGCTGCTCCTCTTCAGATCCAGCTCTCTGCTATGGCTTGGGATAGCAGTGGAGGATGGCCCAAGTCCTTGGGCTCCTGCACCCATGTGGGAGATCCGGAGGAAGCTCCTGGCTCCTGGCTTTGGATCAGTGCAGCTCTGGCCATTGTGGCCAATTGGGGAGTAAACCAGTGGATGGAAGGCCTCTCTCTCTCTGCCTCTCCTCTCTCTGTATAATTCTGACTTTCAAATAAATAAACAAATCTTAAAAAAAAGAGAGGGAGAGACAGAGATTATGATGGCTCAGACATAATACTTTATACTACTTTAATTTATAACATTATATGCAATTTACTATAAGGGGTAACACTATATACAGGGGTGTGTGTGTGTGTGTGTGTGTGTGTGTGTGTTTTGACAGGCAGAGTTAGATAGTGAGAGAGAGAGACAGAGAGAAAGGTCTTCCTCCCATTGGTTTACCCGCCCCCCCCCCCCCCCAATGGCCGCTATGGCCGGCACGCTGCGCTGATCTGAACCCAGGAGCCAGGTGCTTCCTCCTGGTTTCCCATGCAGGTGCAGGGCCCAAGCACTTGGGCCATCCTCCACTGTCTTCCCGGGCCACAGCAGAGAGATGGACTGGAAGAGGAGGAACCGGGACAGAATCTGGCACCCCAACTGGGACTAGAACCCAGGGTGCCAGCATCGCAGGCAAAAGGATTAGACAAGTGAGCCACGGCGCCAGTCTACAGGTTTTAATAAAATGAAAATTGGCCTACATGATTAAGTTTGAGATTAATCACTCTGTGAGTTTAAGAAAAGAAGAGATCATTTTGATTATGTACTGAACGTATCACCATATATACTAGTTTATGAATAAATTTAAACTTGTACTGAATACAGAGAGAGTTCCACACACATTGATAACACAGTGATTGTGCCTGGTGCAACACTGCTGACTGTACAATGTGAGCAGATTCTCTATTAGTTTTTTGACAAAGGTTGAATTTGACTTGAATCTTGAAAGAAGCTAGAAAGATAAGGAAGAAATTGAATCCTGGGTTAGCAGACAAAATAAGAAAGGGATTATAGACATAAAAGTTGAAATATTTGTAACAAAATAAAATTTTACATTTGACACATGAGAAACAAAGATTATGGGCATATATAGCAGAGGAGTTAAAATACAATCTAAATTACTTCTAGAAATTTCAATGTAGAAATATAAAAATTTCTATATTTCTAAATTTCTATTTCAATGTAGAAATAAAGACATGTCTAACTTGGAGAGGAAAAAGATAGCATGCCTGTTCTCTTGATACCTCTTGAACCAGTGGAATCTGCTAACTGCTAACTCATTTTTGGAGGGTATGTGGTATATCATGTCTGTTACTAACCTGAGAAGGTAGCAGGTGATGCTCTGCCTCATTTTAGGTTCTATGCTCAGTGCTGTTTCTTCCACTCACCTTATGAGATGACAGTTTTTTAGTAAATTATCAGTCAAGGGAGACTGGAGAGGGATGAAGGGCATGGGGGAGATTCTGTCAGGAGACTTTCTCTTTACTCATTTTCATTTTGAAGTTGTGGGATCTATATACATTGGTTGTGCATTTTGGTCTTTGTGACATACAATAGAGATTTTAAATAATTCTCATCGAGTGTAAGTCAGCTACTGGTGAGAGTTGGAGTATGAAAAACAACTTTCAGATCTTGAGACTTTCCTGTAGAATAGTGGCAGACATATATACATTTGTTCAGATATCTTTGTTGCAGAGGCTGATTTGCAGCTTACATAATTGGTTCTCTCCTGTAATGGGCAGGATTAAAAAAAGAAAAGGAAAGGGAAATCAATTCTAGCCAAGACCTCAAGATACTTCTCATCCCTGTTAAGAAAGAGAGGCTCAAAATACAATGTTTCATATCTTTTCCTCCTCTTGAAACTTTCATAAGTTACTCTTTATTTTCTATCACATTACACTCTTTTGTTCCAAAAGTAATTGTATATTGAGACTATTTCCTTTCAAATTTGGTTAATAACTGTTTAGACGTTGATTTTAAATTATTATATTTATTCTTTTAATCAGTTGGGTTACTTAAGGTCCAGGTGCTTTTTCAATATAGAAAATTTGTCATCTTCTTTGGGAATTTCATAATCATATTTCTATTTGGTGGTCATATGTGAGTAAAGATGTATGTATGTGTGTGTGTGTGTGTGAGAGAGAGAGAGAGAGAGAGAGGTAGAATGAAAGTAGAATGACATATTTTAATGTTTATAAAGTAAAATATAAATATGAAAATAATCATTAGGTACTATTACAATTTTATAGCTTTATTTACCTCAGATCATTGAATACAAACCCATGCTGCTATAGTTGAATAGCCTTTGACGTATTCATACTTTATTTTTTTTTCAGATACAGAGTGACCCAGAATTCAGAATTAAAATTAAGGCACAAGCTTTAATTTACCCTTTCTTACAGATGCTTGATATTTCAATGCCCTCTCACCAAGACTATGAGCAAGGTCCAATTCTATCAAGGGATGTGGCAGTTAGATTGGGAAGCCTATATGTGACTAAAGATAAAGCACTGCCCCAGGCAATAAGAATAAACCAACATATGCCTGAGGAATCAAGACATCTTTTCAAGTATGTCAACTGGAGTACTCTTCTTCCTGAGAAGTTTAGGAAGAACCATGTTTATACTGAACCAATTCTTGGAAGACTTAACCCTTCATATCCAGCACTTATGGATAGTAGGTTATCACCCTTAATAGATGAGGATTCCCAGTTACGAAAGTTGCCATTAACTTATATTGTCACCTGTGAACATGATATCCTAAGGGATGATGGACTTATATATGTCACACGACTTCAAAATGTTGGAGTTCAAGTTACTCATGTACACTTGGAGAATGGATTCCACGGAGCTCTATCACTTATGGCATTGCCATTTTATTTAGATCTTGGCATAAAAATACAAGATAAATATATTAGTTGGTTAGAAGAAAACCTATAAAACCTGTAAATAGTGCATGTAGCTATCTAATCAGTTCAGTTCATATTGTACTTCAAAGATTGTATTTTGAATTGTGAGTTTAATGGACAGATATATGATTTAAGTTTGGGACAAACCTAAGTTTAAATTAAAATAAAGGTTGTTATGTATCTTGGAAAAGTTACTTAATTTCTCTACTAAATCTAAGTCTTATTAAAATGAATACATTCACTGTATTATTTCCATCAAATAATATTATTCTGCTTGATAAATCCTAAGTATGTACCAATAATACTCAAAGACAAAATGTGAGTATGGTTATAGGCAAACTAAGCAGGATGATTTGCAGACAGTGATAGGAATAGTAGTGATGAGTAAGGAGAAAGTGTATGGAAAGAAAATCACAATGATATCTTTATGGAGGGCACTATAGTATATTGCAGCATTTTTTCTTTGATTAGACATAGTCCATACATTAATTGGTTCTGGTTAGTATAAATTTTCTTGTTTTTTTTTTTTCACATATTCCATACAAAGTAAGCTTGCATATTCTTGGTTTCCTTTATTACACAAGGAAAAAGTTAATATCTGGACTATAAATTTTTTTCTATAGTCTAAATATTTGACACTCACATTTTTAGCAATATTGGCCTTGAAAATAGGTGATTGATTGCTATTGTATTGCTCACATTTTAATTTCTACAATGAAATACTTAAGACAAGCTGCTTATGAAGAAAGGAGGTTTATTGCTTTGGAGATTCACAGTCTTGGATTGGGCAACCTATTAATTTAGCACCTGTGGATGGCATTGTTGTAGGCAGAGTCCCCCCAAAAAACAGAGCATTACATGGAAAGAGTGCGTGTATCTATAACTATACTTGATAAAGCCACCATGATTAGATAATGAGAGAGCCACCAAACGACCACATCCAATCTAATCATTCCTCAAAGGCCCCATCTCCAACCACCATGATTGACTTAAGTTTTCATTCTCTTAGTACCATAACTTATGACTCTTGAGTCTAAACTCTGCATGAATTTGAGAGCCACATCATGTTCAAACTGTAGCTGCTACATACTAATTACTAATCCAATAAATTATTTTATCAACTGTATATGAAACTCAGAATTATTTATTCTATTATTTTGAATTTCTGGAGTGAATTAGTTACTCTCACAGAGCTACATAAATAACTAGATCTCTAGATCTATTGGCTTCCTTAATGGGGTCCTATATTCTTATCAGGGTACATACATCAATCTCACAATTAAAATAAATTCTTACCAGGGGGCAATATGAGCAATGTCTAATTTTCTGAAGTCTCAGTGGCACTACTGTTTACTTGGCATTGATTTCCATGTTTTGTGTCTTCATTAATAGTGAGAACATTTGGTATTATGTAAGTTTAATTGTATATTGTGAACTTCATTGATAATAAAATCATATAATATTTTTATAATTTTCATCTGCAGTTTTATCACTTGCCTTTTGGTCATTTCAACAATAATCGCTCACTAGTCTTTCAGCACATTTCACCATATAAGGCTCTTCTGTGAAATTCAAATGCTGAGTATATAAAAATATACTTTGGGCGATTGTCGGGAAGATGGCAGAATAGGGAGGGAGCACACTGATGGTCCGGGAAGGGAAGGTTCAAAGAGGGGTGAGAATTTGTAGTTTCAGGGAAAGGGAAGCTCTTCCAAAACTGGGGAGACAGGGTGGACCTGCGAGGAGGACACAGATGCCTGAAGCGCATGACAGCAGCAGGAGTGTGTACGCACCAGTGCTGGAAGCCTAGGTGAGACAGGGCGCTAGCCCAGCACTGCGGCAACAGCCGCCGCCGCCCCTCCCACAACCCATCCTGGGACGGACACTGAGACAGGCACAACTGAGTGGGGGAGGAAATAGAAAACAGAACAGAGTGAGTAGCGCCTGTGGAAAGAGTGCGCGATTCAGGGGGACAAATTGAGGGACTAAACAAGCGAGGATCCCTTGCTGCCTAGACACTCCCCCAAATCGGAGCAGCAGTGGGCGGGAAGCAGCCCTCTTGTTTGTTTACATTCGGGTTTAAAGGAGAACTGCCTCTGCCTCTGTACTAACCTTCAGAGGCGGAGCCTGGAGCCCAAAGGTGGAGTGGAGCGACATGACACTCCTCGCACAGGGGGCAAGCAGTGAGGGAGGGCAGCTCAAAGCCCTGACACCAGTCTACTCAAGTTACCAGAAGAAAAAAAAATTGAATAGCCCCCGCAGGAAGAGGGCAGGATCCAGGGGGATGAACTGAGGGATCAAAAATGCCAGGATCCTTAGGAGCTGCCCAACCCACAATCAGAGCTGCAGCGGGCAGAGTGCAGCCATCCTGTTTGTTTACATTTGGGCTTAAAGGAGGCTGGCCTCTGCTCTGAAGGAGGAAGCAGCAGGGGCGGAGTCCAAAGGTGATCTGGAGCTACTTGGCACTCCTCACGCAGGAGGTGTAGTGAGAGAGAGCGGCTGACCAAGGAACCCCAGGCACAGACACATAAGGCTAACACAGGAACAAGGGAACCGGCCCCCAAGGGGTGGAGATTGGCACCTCAAAGCCCTGACACCAGCCCACTCAAGTTACAAAAATAAATAAATAAATAAATAAGTCAATAATAAATAAATAAACAAGTTCTAGAAGGCAGAGCAGCCTGCTTACACTGGATATTGGTACAGACTCACAGCAGCCTATAGCAGAGGGAAATCAACCTGAAAAACCACCCAGATGGAATGCCAAAAAACAAAACAAAAACCCACAATAAGAATATAGAAGAACATATAAACTCATCAATGGAGCAGGCTAAACCAACCATAACAGAGGCTGAAGAAGAAGAAGAATTTGAAACCATGCCAGAAAAAGAATTCTGAAAATTAATAATCAGAACACTTAAAAATAATGAGAAACAGTGTCGCGAGCTGAATGAAAAACAAGCCCAAGGATTAGAGATCCTAAAGAGAAGCCAGAATGAAATACTGGAAATGAAAAACTCAATTGACCATATAAAAAACACCATGGAGCCGGCGCCGTGGCTCAATAGGCTAATCCTCCACCTAGCGGCGCCGGCACACCGGGTTCTAGTCCCGGTTGGGGCGCCGGATTCTGTCCCGGTTGCCCCTCTTCCAGGCCAGCTCTCTGCTATGGCCAGGGAGTGCAGTGGAGGATGGCCCAGGTGCTTGGGCCCTGCACCCCATGGGAGACCAGGAAAAGCACCTGGCTCCTGGCTCCTGCCAGGATCAGCGCGGTGCGCCGGCTGCAGCGGCGGCCATTGGAGGGTGAACCAACGGCAAAGGAAGACCTTTCTCTCTGTCTCTCTCTCTCACTGTCCACTCTGCCTGTCATAGAAAAAACAGACACATGTACAAAAAAACAACCACCCATGGAATTATTCGGAAATTAAACAGATGAAATAGAAGACCGAATATCAGAATTCGAAGGCAAACTTCCAGAAATAATACAGTCAGTTCAAACACAGGAAGAAGAAATTAAAAAATTAAAAAATATGGTCAGAGACCTACAAGATTCAATCAAACAGTGTAATGTTCAGATAATAGGAGTCCCTGAGGGGGTAGAAAGAGAGAATGGATTAGAAGGTGTTTTCAATGAAATAATATCAGGAAACTTCAAACAAACGCAGCTGGATAATAACAGGCAAATTCAACAGATAGCCAGGACTCCGAACAGGGTAGACCAGAAGAGAAATTCACCGCGACACATTGTGGCAACACCCAGCTCAGTGACACACAAAGAACAAATCCTAAAATGTGCCAGAGAAAAATGACAAATCACATTCAGGGGTAAGTTAATCAGACTCACCCCAGACTTCTCATCACAAACACTACAGGCAAGGAGACAATGGCATGATATATTTCAAGTTTTAAAAGACAAACAATGGGCCGGCACCATGGCTAAATAAGCTAATCCTCCGCCTTGCAGTGCCGGCACAACGGGTTCTAGTCCCGGTCGGGGCACCGGATTCTGTCCCGGTTGCTCCTCTTCTAGGCCAGCTCTCTGCCGTGGCCTGGGGAAGGCAGTGGAGGGTGGCCCAAATGCTTGGGCTCTGCACCCCATCGGAGACCAGGATAAGCACCTGGCTCCTGCCTTCAGATCAGCGCGGTGCGCCGGCCGTGGTGCGCCGGCCACAGTGTTCCGGCCATGGCGGCCATTGGAGGGTGAACCAACGGCAAAAGGAAGACCTTTCTCTCTGTCTCTCTCTCTCTCACTGTCCACTCTGCCTGTCAAAAAAAAAAAAAAAAAAAAGACAAACAATGCCAACCTAGAATCTATACCCTGCAAAGCTATCATTTATGATTGAAGGGGAAATAAAGATCTTCCAAGACAAACAGAAACTGAAAGAATTTGTATCCACATGTCCAACCCTACAACACTTTCTCAAAGACATGCTGCACACAGAAATACAAAAACAAGAACTTCACTACAAAAAAAAAAAGCGAATGTAGAGTAACCTACAAACAAAGTTCAAAATACATAAACAGCTCGTTTCAGGAAACATGAATGGGAAAAGACAGAATTTAACAATAATCACACTGAATGTGAATGGTCTTAATTCTACTACCAAGAGACATAGACTAGCTGATTGGATCAAGAAAGAGAATCCATCTATATGCTGCCTTCAGGAGACACACCTTATCAGCAAAGATGCACGCAGACTGAAAGTGAAAGGATGGAAAAAGATACTCCAAGCTAACAGAAATCAAAAAAGAGCTGGTGTGGCCATCCTAATATCAGATAAAATAGACTTTAACATAAAAACTATTAAAAGAGACAGAGAAGGGCACTATATAATGATTAAAGGATCTATCCAACAGGAAGACATTACTATTATAAATGTATATGCACCTAATTACAGGGCGCCTGGCTACCTAAAAGAATTACTAAAGGATTTAAAGGGAGATATAGATTCAAATACAATAGTAACAGGGGACTTCAACACCCCACTCTCACCAATGGACAGATCAACCAGACAGAAATTCAACAAGGAAACAACAGAGCTAATTGACGCTATAGACCAAATACACCTAATAGATATCTTCAGAACCTTCCACCCCACAGCTACAGAGTTCATGTATTTCTCCCCAGTACATGGAACATTCTCTAGGACTGACCATATGCTAGGCCATAAAGGGAGCCTCAACAAATTCAAAACAATTGAAACTATACCATGCAGCTTCTCAGACCACAGCTCAGTGAAACTCGAAATCAATAACCCAAGAATCTCTACACCATATGCAAACATGGAGAATGGACAACATGATCCTAAACGAACAGTGGGTCATCGAAGAAATTAAAAGAGAAATCAAAAGATTTCTAGAAACAAATGAAAATGACAACACAACCTATCAAAACCTGTGGGACACAGCAAAAGCAGTGCTAAGAGGAAAGTTTATAGCAATTGGTGCCTACATCAAGAAGCTGGAAAGGAACCAAACAAATGAACTCTCCATGCACCTCAAGGATTTAGAAAAAAGCAGCCAATCAAGCCCAAATCCAGAAGGAGGAAAGAAATACTAAAGATCAGAGAAGAAATAAACAGAATTGAAACAAACAAACAAAAAAAATACAAAAGATCAACAAAACCAGGAGCTGGTTCTTTGAAAAAATAAACAAAATCGACACACCATTGGCCCAACTAACCAAAAAAAGGAGAGAGAAGACCCAAATCTGTAAAATCAAAGATAGTAATGGAAACGTAACAACAGACACAACAGAAATAAAAAGAATCATCAGAAACCACTACAAAGAGATGTATGCTAACAAATTGGGGAACCTGGAAGAAATGGATAGATTCCTGGACACATACAACCTTCCTAAACTGAGCCGTGAAGATATAGAAAATCTACACAGACCTGTAACCGTGGAAGAAATTGAATCAGTAATAAACGCACTACCGAAAAACAAGAGCCCAGGACCGGATGCCTTCACCACCGAATTTTACCAGACATTTATAGAACAACTAACCCCAGTTATTCTCAAATTATTCAAAACGATTGAAAGGGAGGGAATCCTCCCAAATTCTTTCTACGAAGCCAATATCACCTGAATTCCTAAGCCCGGAAAAGACACAACAGAGAAAGAAAACTGCAAACCTATCTCCCTGATGAACATAGATGCAAAAATACTCAACAAAATTCTGGCAAACCGAATCCAACTGCACCTCAGAAAGATCATTCACCCGGACCAAGTGGGATTTATCCCTGGTATGCAGGGATGGTTCAATATTCGAAAGTCAATCAATGTAATACATCACATTAATAAATTGAGAAACAAAAATCATATGATTATC